TTTCTAAAGCAGAAATAACAGCTTTCGACTTGTATTCGATGATAACAAAAATAAGCGGATCAGAAAGTTGTAAAATGTTATGATTCGCTATCCGTTCTTCAAAGTGCAAATTCTTGCAATTTCGATAACGGTCCCATACAGCCTCTTATCCTTCATATCAACTCAATTGCAAAATACTGTAATATATCGTTTCTATGAGTTCCTATTCATGTCGGAATTTGTGGAAACGAACTGGTCGACAAATATATGACTGCCTCACCTATTGATCGAATGTGCCGATTTTAGGAAGATTCCAGACAATCATTATGATGTGCCTTTAAATATCTTTTAGCAGATGATGAATAACAAAACAAAGGCTGTTACCTAAACCAATTAATGAATTTTAGAGGATGTGCCATTTCTTAACAATCTGTGATAGTATGAATGCGCTAGACATGTCATAATAATTGAAACTGAAAAATTCTATAATGTTAATTACATGTTAGTTTAAAAAGCAATCAATGTCAAGAAAGGACACTTTATTTTGATTCTATATTCATTACGGTCACAGGGCCGTTGGTTTTACACACGCATATATATATGTGTTTCCGCTCATCTTGAGACTGGCATGCCCATCCACAGCTAGACAAAGAGAAATAAATGAACTACAGATGATATATCGTTTCGTAACATTTAGTTGGATGTCAAAAGTTGTTGGCAGGTTATAAGTATGGTGAGCTATTTTTCTATGAAAACATCAGCCTTAATGCTCGACTTCGTTTACCTCGCTATGGAACATTTCAATAGCTAATTTACAAGTTCAATATATATCCAAATTACATATACATGTATGAATTCCGACATATAATAGGGGTCTTCGAATAATTATGATCAAGGGTTGGAATTTTGGCCAGGGACTATAGCATCTTTCAGGGAGCCTGTTGAACCTACTCTATTCGTTGTGTCTGTACTTTTTTTTGTTATAAAGCTAGTCTCCTGAATAAATACATGAAGCCTATATTCCTACCTCTGAGTTTTATGGACGAACTTCATAACAATGCTCATCACCTATCGATGACTGTTACGTAGTTTCAGCCAAATACATACGTCTCTGGCTTCCCAACCCGCGGGGCACTGCAGGTTCGGGAGAATGAAAGGTCCTCTTACATCAAACTGCATATCAAAAGAGGCGACACTAGGGCCCCTTGCAGAATCTTGGGCTTTCTTCTGTCCCCATAGCAACACTTGGAACCTGTGCCGTTTCTTTTCGCTTGTGTCTCTCTCGGCACCCCGTCCCTGCATGTGGGGGATCGAGAGAATACACCTGCTGTTACCCACTGCATGAGCGTAAGAGGCGACTAATGTGGGGATCCCCCCGAGCAGAATTGCGGATGTGCTTTCCTGCATGTCGAAAGAGGCGACAAACGTTGGCCCTGCATAATGTGGGGTTTTACGAAAATGGCGAACTACAATACACAGTAATAGAGACTCAGTGAATGTTTTGTCTTATTCAAAGCGTTTATAAAACGTTACATGGTTCTGTGAAACGTTTCTAAGACCCTTCTATGTATTATGCTTAGGAGACATTGTAAAAAAATCCGAAAAATCTGCTGTCCCCATAACAACTCTTTTCTTCTCTTGCTTCCCTACTCAATGGTGTTTCCCTTGGCACCCGTCTTTATATGGTCATGAAAGAAAAAAAGGACTTTAAACCTCATACAAACAAACTCTGGCTTCCCATAGCACAAAAGTGCATTATTTTCCCACAATGTACGGAATATCTTCCCAGTTTCAATATCAAAAATGCTACATTTTCCAAATAAAAACAAGCTGTTGTAAAATTTAAGAAGAAAAACACTGACCTTCACACAACAGTTGCCGTTTTTGTCAGAGCCATTTTGGAATTCACCTCGCATAGTGCAGACTGAATGCAGATATGACTATAGGGTAAACAAAAGTTCAGCAATTTTTACCTAGACTTTGATCGGTATTAATGTTCAGGACCTTGTACAATGCTCAGTCTAACTACTTAAATCAGTGCCATGGTCAAGTATTAATTAACTACATGAACGTAGAACTTGATTAAAAATCGGCATGTTTAACCTGAACCTTGATAGAATTTGAAACAGAACTGGTTCCTGGATCAAAGTTCGGTTTGGTTTGGTTTAGTATTGTTTAACGTCCTATCAACAGCTATGGTCATTTAAAGACGGCCTCTCCTGTTTGCACACATATGTATGCGTGTGTGTTTTGGGAGGCTGCGATATGTTCGCGTTTGTCTCCTTGTGATAGCGCGGAACTGATTCCGACTATATTGTGCTACCTCACTGAAACATACTGCCGAAGACACCCAGCAGGACAACCCACCCGGTCACATTTTATTGACAACGGGCGAACCAGTCGTCCCACTCCTAAATTCAACAAATGATAACTACCTCAGAGAGTATTTCTTGTATAGTTTTAAATGCGACGAACAGAGAATAAAAATATATAAATATAATATAAAATTCAATTTATTGGTCAACAATATTAATAATTGACACTTCCAGCATGTCATGTAATATAAGATACAATTAATGTACAGGATATATACAATAAAATTAATTAGTGAAGTGTGTACAATACGCACCTTCCATCATCCAATCTGTTCCACAAATGTAGAATATACCCTTAATGGTATCAACGTCTGTGGTCAAGATTAAGATGGTAAGAAACATAAACTGACCAAGTATGTGTAGTCTGTTTTAAAAGTATACAAAAGTAAAGTTAACAAGCATAACATATACAATTATCACATGAATTATGGACGGATATTTTTTTTGAAAAAAACAACAAAACTTAATATATCTGATTTGTTATCCTAAAAAACCCAATCGACATACTTAAACAACATCAGATTATAGAATAAACTATTAACTTCAGCTGTTACATCTGTTTAAGATTTGTTCCCTCTAACTTCGCCATTTTGGAAGAATTTCTCCTTGTCACTCTTTTTGAAGAATTTCTTATCATATCTTCCTCTTCTGACTTTAATATTACTGCATAAACTCCAACAGTTAATTTTAAAGTGACTTTCTTTTACGACTCAAAAATGATGCACTTTCAAACATTTAATCTGGTAATTTTCAGATATATAAATACAAAAAATAATGATAACATCAAATGATATTTCATTCTCTAGTGCACAATTCCAAGTTATAAGATCCCGTTTAAAAAAAAGGATTTTTTGTTCTCTCCTACATTATTTAACTTTTATATAACTTTGCATTTTTATATAAATACTACTTCAAATACATCAAACATATATATTGCAAAGATTTATAAATATTGAGTAATGATCTGTGTATATTAAAGATATACTAAACTAGCATTTTAATATCAGCCAAAAAAGCATTCATACAATAATTTAACATAACAGATGCTGTACCTAAAAGGTTATCATGTGACCATTTCCATATCCTACCCTGTATCAGCCCGAGGGTTGATATGGGTCGAGGGCTAATACGGAGTAGAATATGGAAATATTCAGATAGTAACATTTTTATCATAAACTGCTCTATAACATCTAAATAATCAGCAGTTACAAATATAACACAAAGAGATTGTTTATTTCATGAGCTTAAGTATAATCACATTCTACCTTAGATAAAACACAATGAACAGAATAGCATGTACAGACGGATATGCAGTGTGTACAATACCAGTTTGAGGTGTGATTTTTCTAAAAAGTGTTGAACGGAAAGTTGATTAGATATGGTGCGTGCTGGGCGGATATGGGTTGTTCCAGGATATATGGCCTATGCACAGCTAGGGGTATCACACATGCAAAACAACCCATATCACGGACAAGTATACATTGTATGATAAAATTCATTAAATGATTAAATAAAAGATCTACATAAATACAGTAAGTACATGGCCTGCACGTATCAAATTATAAATGGATGGAATATGATCACAATGACTAACATCAATGTACATGAAAAAAATACTGTATACCGGGAAATTTTCACTGCAGTTTCACTAGGCGAATATAAGTAAACTATTATATGTATAGTGAATATGCCAAGGAGGAAATAAACACTGGGAGAATATATATATATGGATTTCAACGGCAAAGGCCGAGAAAAAATTGACTCAACGAATGTTTCCTGATATACAGTACATGTATTTACAGAAAGGTGACTGATTTAGTTAGTATTGCATTATTTATAGGATTTTAAGTCATCTTCTCATTCAATGTAGTCATTTTATAAGTATGAAGATAAATTTTCATTTCTTATTCTGCCATTTATATACAACTCTACTAAGAAGCTGATCCCTGATGTGATAACATTTCTATGTCACACACTTTTCAACCCAGAGTAAAAAGAAAGATAAAAAGATGGAACTTGACAATTAGGTTTTGATACAGGTGTTTTTTATTGTTTTTTGAAAAATTCGAAATTAAGAAAAAATAAAGCCAGTGCATGTGTGTATGTTTTAGCTATTTTCCTGTGAAATTGAATAAAATTTCAATCTCGAGATTCAAATAAATATTGTAATATTTTTGTTTGTGTGTGTTTTTTTTAAATTTTGTATGTGAACAACATAATCATACAATATTAGAAAAAAACATTAATGTCTTCAAAAGTTGAAAAATACAGCAAACGTATCACATCAACAACATGTTGTCACCGACACATTATCCCAGATAAGTGGAATCAATATTTCACCAATATTAGCAGGGGCTGAGTGATCGCTGTAAATTGTAGAATTACCATTAAAGATTTAGAATTGTACACAGCACAAATTAGGTAGAGCAGACACCATAGGCCATTCAGAATTGAAATTGCTTATGTCAAATGCCATACTTCAGAATAATGTAGCTAGCGATTTGAAATGGTAGATAAAATTGAAAATGGTCCAATATGTAAATCTGATTTTCTGAGTAGGTAGAGACATAGCTGCGTGAACCGTAGCTTCTGGGCCTGTTTTTTTTTTTTTTTTTTATTGTTATCGGATCTATGGTCCGATATTTGTTTTTTAAAAGATCGGGCCTAGAAGCTATGGTTCCCGCAGCTAGTAGAGACACTGTTACAGTAGTTGCCTTGTACACAGGAAGAATCAATCACAACAGGCTCAAGTGTCACCAGTAAGTTTGTAAAAGATGTGCATTGATTAGCTAGGTTGCCTTACAAGGGTCAGCTGTGGGGAATTTCCCTTTAGCTCAGCGGTAGAGCATCGGGCTGGAAAGGCAAGGGTCGCGGGTTCGAGCCCAAGCGACGACACAATCTTTATCACGATTCCTCATCCTACTACAAGTTGGTACACAATGTACTTATATTTATTTGCCAACTAGTTTTGCCTCCTGGATTTACCTTGTTTACAAAACAGTATCCAGTTGGTACATGGTTTTAAATCCCCAACACTACTCCTCCGAAGTGTTGGGATCACCTGGATGAACTGTTTCACTGAAATTGATCCCAACACCAAGGGGAGATAATTTTGACATTACGGCATGAAACACCCATTTTGTTACCTGACCAATGAAAAACAAATTGCTATCTGACATTATGAATCTGCATCATTAGTTTCTTTAAACCCTGACTGTTGAGCACAGGAGTTAAAACAGCTTGCTAGAAAACAATCAAAAACATTAGATGGTAAATCTGATTGATTGTTGCATGCCATTGTCTGTCAAACAGTTTTCCAGACAACATTAAAAATTATTGACTTTGCAATATTTTGAACTTTTGAACCACTTACTATGTTTCATTTCAAAAATCCTTCATAAAACAGTCACATTGTTTGATATGTATTTATATAGAGATTCAGGTTACCATGATGCCTGTTTTTAGAACTGTCCTGTCTTGACTAACACTGATGAATGTAAATGAGGACACACCTAGGCAATCACACAGCGGCTTGGCTCCTGATCTGGAATGTCCTCCTCATCAACAAACACATCATCATCCTCCAGCTTGCTAACTCCATCCAACACCTGGAGGTGGGGCAGCATTTTGAACACCCTGTAAACAGATTGGAGGAATTAATTTTCTTCAAAATGATATCCAGACTTCATGAATCAACATCAACAGCCAATCAAATTTCAAAGATGACACATTGACAGCCAATCAAACTTCATTGATCACACACTGAAAGCCAATCAGACTTGATAGCTGACATGCTGAAAGCCATTAATATTTCATAAATTTCTCACTGACAGCCAATCAGGTTTGGTAGATCACACAATGACAGCCAATCACAGTTCATTGATCACACACTGAAAGCCAATCAGACTTGATAGCTCCCACGTTGAAAGCCAATGATCATATTTCATAAATGTCTCACTGACAGCCAATCAGGTTTGGTAGATCACACAATGACAGCCAATCACAGTTAAGAGATCACACACTGACAGCCAATCAGGTTATGTAGATCTCACACTAGCTTTCATATGACACTATAGCTATCACACATAGATAGTTGTCTTTTTTAGAGCAACCCTAGCTGTTTAACTGATGTAAGTTTAATCCACGTAGCAAATACATGTATAGTTATCGAGATATAGATAAAACCATGAATCAATTCTTCTTAACATTCTACATGGATGGACAGATGGATGAACCCTGTTTCTATGTACTCCCACTAACTTGGTTGAGTGGGGACAAAAAGCAATCACACCAACTGCAAGTTTTCACAAGTGATGACTTACTTTGGTCTGTAGTTGACGACAAATGAGATTGGGTTTCCACGGAGATACAGCTGCTCTAGGGTGGACAGTGAACTCAGGCCCCGAAAACTGTTCACATCATTATCCTCCATCGTCAGACAGGTTATCTTTGGGATGGACGGCAATTTCTGAAGGAAACAAAACAAACTGGTCAACAATCAAAATGAAAAGATTCTTTTATCGCCAAGATCTAAATTACCAAAAAGATGTAAAAACAAATTTAATTTAGCAATAAAGACATTTATTTTAGTTGTTTCCCTTTACTTGTCACACGTCACTTTGGATATGTTTAAGCACCGATTGTAAAAGTTAGTTTGACATTCCTTATTAAAAAAACCACCACAACACATAAGTAAATCATATACATGACAAAAAGAAAGGAAAGGAAACTTAGAGCTTTCATTTTTCATGAATTTCTGACCAAATTAATAGGTCAAGGCTGAATACACAAAACACTATAATATGTACATATGTAACAGGAGGAACAGAAATGCAACAACTAGACCCGGACTGGAACCCAGGACCCTCCAAAATCTACAAGGATGCTCTACCAATTCAGCTACCTGGTCGCCAACAATTGATCCATTCCAGTACATTCATCCCTCCTTTTTCTAAGTCTTTGCCCCCAAACACTCAACTATTTACAACCAAGGTTCGGGTATCTCCTTGCCAAGCATTCACCATGCAGTGCTTGAAAAAAAGGGTTGGCAAACTCACTAATTTTGTAATAGGAGATACAGAAAATGCATGGGCAGACTATGATTTGAACCTGGAGCCTTTTGAACTCTAGACCGACGCTCTTCCAATTGAGCTACCTTTTAGCGGGTGATTGATCCAGTCTTAAGTTCAACAACACATATACATGTATATCAAATGTTTACCAAACATTTAGAGATAGATAAAGTATTGGACTGTACAAATATCTAATGCTTACCTTAAATGATGAGATGAAATTCTTGTTCAAATTCAACACAGTGCATCTGAAATAGTTTAGAATGAACAAATTTATTTAAAGAACAGTGGTGACCTCCCCTATAATGATAATTGGACCAGGAGTTATTTTCACAGAAGACCATCCTAAGAAAAACAGAAATTAAAATGTATGCCTGGTTTAAATAATATACATGTGTTTTATTAATTCTTTCTATTTGGTCAAAACTTCCATATGGGTTAGTATAAATCAGCCTTTCTGCTTAATGGAATTTGACAACCTGCTTAACCCTTTCACCACTGTAGACCATAATGGACTCATCCAGATCAATGCATGGTAGAGTCTTCTAAGGTTACAAAGGAGTGAAAGGGTTAAACAAACTGGTTGAGGGTACCAAATTGGATCTACCGGTAATATGACAACCAGTGAAATGAGTTTGTTTCAAAGGTTAATAAAATTATATACCAGGTATATGTTTAGACATGCATAACAGCAAAACTGTATCAGTGTTTTTATGAAGAATAGACAGCAGGCCAAAGTGACTGGTTCAGTGATTTTTACCTGTTCAAATCACATTCTTCTTCTTCCAATAATTTGCATATAATACCACCTTTAGTGTATTGTCACAGATGTGTATCTCGTATGTAATTTTACAAAATTTGGATGGTTAAAAATGTCAATTGATCTGTTCAAAAAAACAATTACTGAAAAGCTTTTGAATGTATTAATATATTTCCAACTCCAAATGATATCACGGCATGTTAAACTTGAAAATAGAGGTGGTTATGCTCATAGTTTGGCAAATTTTGCGACTAAACAGTTCCTGTTATCTAAAAGAATTCCTTTAATTTCCATTAATTTGTATCATATCTGAATATGTGGAAATGTGATAGAAATGTGGTTAAGACCATTTCAGGATACTTCCATTGACTACATGTAGGTAGCTCAGTCTGTTAGAGCAATAGTATAATAAACTGTAGTCTAGGGTTCGAATCCCGTTCTACTTCCTGTGTTGTTGATTTTTTCCACTCAGAACAAATGTTGTTGATTATGTTTTGCATGGTTACAGTTTTTGGCAGTGGTACGCCCAGGATCCTGAAATTTATGAAATATTTTAAGCCCAAACAGCACTAAAATTAGAATACCGCTAAAACATGTATGTCTACAGTGCAGGTACAATACAACATATTTGTATTACACCATTCTTTCATGTAATATAATGCTACAGGTTCCTTACTTGGGGAAGCTGTAGGATGCGAGAGTGGTGATACTGTTGTCTACAAGGTATAACTGCTCCACGTTCTTCAGGTTGCCAAGGATACGGTAAAAGTTATCTTTCTGATACTGGTGATGTAACTCTTGGTAACAGAGGCTTGCGGACTGGGGATCAGAAGTTAAACAAAGGTCAAAGTTCACAGCATCATAGATATGAAACCTGATAAAGTCATATGAATCGGTACAAATTTATAAGTATTTCTGCTTATACATGTCTTTGTTAAATTAAGGTCATAGGCCAACCATATAGTTATAAAAGTCTTATATATATCACAAAGTACATGCATTATGAAAAATAGACATTCTGTTACAAATGTTCATAAGTGTATGAGAAATATTGTTTAAACCCAAGAAATCGTGTTTTTAAGAGAACCGATTACACAAAATGTTATCTTGTTTAATTCCAAGTATCTGTAAGTCCAAGAGTTTTGCTTGATACACATAACATATCTTCTGTTACTTAGTATGTTTAGGGTTAAACTCATTCACTCCTACCTTTTTAAAATGGACTTGTCCAGCCTTTGATTTGGTAAGGTTTAAATGTGATTTTAGGGGTGACTGGGTTAACAGTCCTCACAACAGCTAAAGTCATAAGAAGAGAGAATACTAAGTGAGGCACCAACCGAAAAAAAAAGAATAGTGACGAGAGGAAAGAAAAAATAAAGACACCAAGTGTTGTGAGGGGGGGCAGCAGATTAAGTATATAGTGTGGACCTTTTTGTAGAAGACACAGAAGAAAACCCGGTTTCTGCAGAGCCCCCCCCCCCCCCCNAGCAGCCCTATTCCTTCCCTGATCCTGGGGAGCATATCTTCTCTACATCCTAGGAACATATCATGATATGATTAAAGGCACATGGTTAGCTATTCCATTAGTTTCAGGTATAAAAACTGACCAATTTCGACCAGGATACCTCTGCTTAGAAAATTACTGGGGAGCGACACCTATCTTCAGAGCTGGTCGATTTTACAGTTAAGATGTTGTACAATTCTTTTGATGTATATCAAAGGATAAAAGTAGTCTACTTGTGTTATCTGCAAGGTGGCATGCACAGAGCCTCCAATTTTGTTGTGACACATTCCAAGGATGAAGAAGATCATCCTTGATACTCCCAGAGTTATGCCTTTTCACTCTCTGCACCCCCTGGAATATGTCATAGCAAAATCAAGCGCTCAGTGTTTGCCACCTTGTGGATGTGATGAGAAGACTACTTTGATCCTTTGATGTACTTTAAAAGAATCTTGCGGTGGTGTAATAGTAAAATTGACAGGCTTTGAAGTTGGGTCTCCCTCTTCTGTAATCTTCAAAGGACTGGTATCAGCCTAGCGATTGGTCAGGATTTTTTTTACCTGAGATCAATCAAACAGCTAGCTGCATGCCTTCACTTTTTGCTAAATGACATATTCCAGGGGTACAGAGGGGGAAAGTAAGCATAGCCCCTGGAGTATTGAGGATGAGAGAATATATGCGGAACCCTTAGATTTCGAAGGGGAATTCCAAGATAAAGATGTATACCGTAGCTGCATTCCAGTCCTCCAGTGTTGTGCGATGTTGTACACGTTGCTTCCCATGTAGGGAGTGGTGAATATTCTGATTGTCCTCATCTTTCAACAGGTAAAATGCCCTTCCTTTTTCAGCAGGACCTACATGTAAAGCATGAGGAACAATTCAAGACTTAACAAAATAAGGTTATATGGTAAGTGAAGTATCTTTACCTAAAAATCATTTCCTGTCCAAATCATAAAAGAACAATTATCTAATCTTGAAAACATATTACCTTTCAATCTGGCCTCTGTTAGTTTTATCAACCATAATGATAAATTGTTGGTATTTTTCATTAAGTTAAAGGGAGGTAATACAGATTGATTTTAGCACTTTCATATTGCTTAATGGATTTATTTCTATCTTGGGATTCTAAAAATGTTATCCTGGCATATGTTTCATATAATTTGAATAGAAGTTCATATTTTACACCTTAAACTATAATTGCTAACTTTATGGGTGAATGGCAAGATAAGTTGGAAGATCAAATTAAGCGCTTTATTTGACAGAATGATTTCATTCCCAGGTTGTTAAATCTCAAAATAGTATTTTCACCTTCTCTGACTCGTGGAGCTTTGAGTTCTGTCCCCTTTAAACTGCCTGACCGCAGATCATGCCAAACAGAGTATTGGAATCTGTGGGATGGCAGCTAAAAAACATGAAATTGTATAACATATATCTTTATCAATTGAAATGACATGTGGATGCAATATTTCATACAAGATGGATGTTATTCAGCTATAAATAGCTATTGTGTATCTGGAAATTTTCACCACACTTTCACTTCAACCTTTTTCGCCCTTCGTAAACATTTTTTTTAAAACTGACTTGAAATCTAACACCAACATTTTGGCATATTCCTTATTGATGTCACATTGCACTGGGAGGTTGTAGCTTTTAGGAGAATACCTTAGATGTATGTTTACAAAATTCTCCATATTTACCTCTGGAAGTTCACTGATTGGCCCCTGGAATTTTCTCTGTTGTTGTAGGTGTTTATAGGCGGGGACAATTGCTAGAGGGACACCAGCTGACGACAGAGCGACATTACTGCCGGTCTCCCCACTCACAGCACTCTCCGCGTTGATTGACACACTATAGAGATTGGAAAACAAAAAATCATACATATTTACACAATCAAATCAGAGCTTCTGTTGAAACCGTATTCAATAGGGAATTTTTAAGTGAATAACCAGGTTTATACTCATATTGGACTTGTACCACAGAATAAGATCTACATTTAAGTCTGTGCTTGTACTAATATCTTAATATTAAATCTTGAAGCTGAGCAAGGACATTATTAGTATTTCAATGTTTCTTGTTCTGATCAGTATAGACCAGCAGTCCAGGAATTATTTAGGTGTTTGGACTTTGAGGGGTGGCTGGAGTATTTTCACAGATTACATGTGCCCACTGGGAAAATTTACCATTAAAAGAAACTGTACATACTGTAACAGGAAAGGGAAAAGTGTGCATTCCCTCTAGCGTGAAGCTAAAAGGTGACCATAATCCTTATGTACAATTAAAATCTGCCACGCTACTCCACCCTTTTTAAATGTGTTTGCCTTCGAACACCGGTACCACAACCCATGCAGGTTCTAACTCCCCATCACCACAGGTAGTGCCATGGACACCATTTGTAACAGGAAACAGAGTACTCAGTGCTTTCACAGGGGATCGAGTCTTAGATCCCTGACTTCCTAGTGGGATGCATTACCATTGAGCTAAAGGGAAATTCCCTCTAGCTTGAAGCTAGAAGGCGACCCCAATCCTATGTAAAATTAAAACCTGCCACACTACTCCCCCGTTTAAATGTGTTCATCCTTGAACACCACAACTCAGGTTCCTACTCCCTGTCATCACAGGGAGGGCCACAGACACTATTTGTACCAGAAAAGAGAATAGTGTGCCTCCACCGGGGATCAAACATGCGATCCCAGCTAGCTACAGACTTCCTAGTCAGACGCTCTAGTTCTACCACTAGAAGGCGACTGTAATCCTATGTGAAATTTGAACCTGCCACAATACAATTAGAAATATCCAGAGCATTTAGTAGGTGGTCTGATGCACGTTTCTCTTGGCATCCACACTCTTTAAAATTATTGGATTTGAGCAAGGCTTACAGTTTATGGGAGAGGGAAGGTACGATTCAAGCTGATGTACTGTATGCATGAAACACTAACACGTCCCAAGGCTAACGCATCACTCAAGATCACACGAGGCTTATTTTTCACTCACAGTCGCTGTATATGCACCTGGTGATGCTAAGATTGCTCAGAGGCAGATCACCCGGATGTTTACATTTTGACATCAACGTAGCATTTAATTGTTATTGGATTCAACTTAACCAATAAATTAATAATAAATAACGTTATGTACACTTAATGTAAAGTAACTGCATGTCGTGTTTAACAAGAATCAAAACCATAACAGCGCGCATTGGTGTTTAAAATAACAAAATACAAGCTTAAGTTTTCAATAGAAACAGATGAATTGGGGGTAGGGGGGCGGGGGGTCAAATCTCTTTTGGAAATCAAAATGTTGCAATTCTTCTGTTAGTTAAAATGGCCAACATAATGACATACAATGATGTTGTCAGTAGAAAACGTACAGATCAAATAATTCAATAATAATTCATGAGTGTTTTACTTCCGTTTAAAGTTGAACACTTACCTATCCGACATTTTCTGCAGGTGCTTGCCAACTGTGTAATCATGTGTACTACGTCATAGAATGTGTACTTTTGGGTACTATACTAATCACCAGCTATGATTGCATAAAAGTCCAACAGTACGCGAACCATTAACACAATACGAAGGGGAACTGTCAATTAATTTTTTTCTCCAAATCCCAACCATACATTTTTGTTCCTACATTTGATCAGTTATGTCAAATTATTTTAAATGATATTTTGTTTCTATTATCATATTTGACCGGATTTTTTTTGCAAGTTAATGCAACAAGGATGGGAAAACAGACCATTAGAAACTGTTATATTTATTCCTGTCACTAGATACCTTATTCTAAAATGCTGTTGTGTACCTTTCTCATCACTCAATGCACGTGAGCAACTCGATGAAATAAAATTCGCACATACTTTTAGCTGTAGGAAAACTGTATAGTGCTGATTGTTAAAGGGAAGCAACTCGTAGTATCGAGTGGAAGCATATTCTTACTGTTTTGTACCGGTGAATAGATTGTTTTGATGTAAAACGAGATGTGTAGGAAGCGTGTACTGAGCCCACGAACAAATGGTACGACAGTAGTGGGCTGACATGTAAATTCCAATTCTAATTTTATAGAAACTGCAGGTGTTGTTAAAATCGCTACCAAGAGTTGTCGTTCCTTACAATCAGTGCGTGTATAACCAGTCCAAAAACGACTCCTTCATTCTGCAATGAACAGCCGAGTTAATAATGTACATCATGATTTTCAAAACAATCTCAAACGCATCTACAGAAAAAAAATACACCAATATCATCACCTTAACCATGTCAGTCATTCCGGCATAGAAAATTCCGTGCGATATAATTGACAACTTGATTCGGGATAATAACTTCCATTTAATTTGGGGACCATCAAGGCAGCCTTTATGCGTATATTTCGATATTCTATTAAAATCGTGTAAATGGAAGTTTATCAAAATTGAACTTAAACTTAAATTCTGTACATCGCCAGCATCATCGCACGGTCGATCAGCTTTCCATTTCGCTGTAGTCTACATATTAGGATTTTACACGAGTTTCCATTTCATATGATTTTTATGAAACGAGTCTAAGAAATTTCAATTTTGCGAGCTTCTGGCCAACTGAAATGAAAAATTCGTGACGATTTTCATGAATTTCATATGAAATGAAAACGAGTGTAGGATCCTTTTTATCACATAATCAAGATTAGAATATTTCAAACATAGATTTCATTCTTTTGAACTTAAGGATGTACACCTCTGAGAAGTCAACAAATTCCTGTATTAAACTTTTTTTTTCTTATATGGATTTTTGGAAAAAGGAGTTAATGGCATAGAAAATGCAAAAAAACCCTATATGTCCGTGTATTCGTTTTTGTGCTAGGATCGGTCAAAGATACCAATTTAACACAACATGTGATTTTACGTGATATTTTTGGTTTTGACCATTTGCAGAACAAATTCATACAATTTCTTCTTCTTTTAACTCAGAAAGCTACCCCTACCCCCTATTTTTTAATGAAAAAATACTATTTTTTTACCAATTTTTTGCAGATTAAACGCTTGATATCAAAAGTTCTGCTATTAACCTTTTTTTAATATTTAATGAATTAAATGAAAATGTGTTTCTCTTTCCAAAACATCTACAAAAATGGAGGGTCAGTGAGCTTCTTTTTTTGTCCCATTATCATTTGTGTTATTTTTTTCACCTTTTTCGGGGTCAAAAATCAAAAGTGCCTCAGTTACACTAAATGTGTAAAAAAAATACCAATAATGTATAATTTTCCAGTTTGTTGCATATTATTTTTATCATATTAAAATTATAAAGTTGTACAGCAAAATTGGACCTGCTGCAATTAAAAATGGCGACACATTACAATTTAAGTGATCAACCTAGTGTCAAAAAAGGTGAAATTTGGCCTTTTTTGAAGCGCAAGAAATACACATTTTCAAAGTAGCCGCCGAATAGGTAATTTTTGTAAATTCTTGTAAATAAAGTTCTACAAACAACAGGCATCTAGTCTATTGACATATTTTCCAGATGCGTGTTTGCTAATAAACTTGATCATAATTTGTTAAATATTACAAAAACCCATTAAACCAGATCAAAACGAGACTCTAACGTGATTGAAACCTCAGAAGAGTACATCCTTAAATACCACTGATGAGTTCTAAAAAGGAGACATTATCAAATAGTGCAATAAAACATTATTTTTTTTGGCTTTCTGTTTCGACAAACATTTTTTTTTAAATAAACGCTTCTTTATTTCGCATTTCAAGTGATTATATTCTGCTTATCCGTAGCATATATATATAGCGGATTTATATGCAGATTTTGCACTGAACTTGATATAATTTAAGCATATGGCATATATAATTATATATGTGAGTTTATATTTTTGCATCAATATATGCGTATTTAAAATCGGGGGAAATCAGCATTTTTAAACCAAGACATGATAATTAAACATATATCTCTTGTCTAGATCTGTGGTAATCCTCACCAATCTTTGCTGTCACGCCCACCAGAAGGTCAACATGTTGACGAAGCTACAGGTATGTATCAAAGGTATTTTCAATAAAGAAAACTTAACAGTCTGATTATGAATGTTTTATATGAATTGAGATATACAATTAATTGATCTTTTATGAAAGTTTCAAATTTTTAATGTTAAAAAGATGATGTTTGAACTTTTAATTACCTCTCTATATCGTATCTTTGGCCTAGAAACATAAATAAAATACCTATTACACTTTAAGTGTGTCAGTTAAATATCAAACTTACCTCTCCGTATCTAATCTCTGATATGACATAATACGTATTGTAGGTTTAGAGCACGTAAATACACTTTTTTATGCATATTCACCCCATCGCACTTTCATGATTAGAGTAACAAGAGATAACACACAAGCATTCACGCACACTACAGATACAAGTACAGATAGGAGTTGTCACGAGCAGGTCAGAATGAAATGTGGTTAATTAATGGGGTCTTTTTTTTCATTAGGTGAATAATGCAACCCTTTCGCGTATCCGTTTCAACCATTCTGTCTGTTTTTGAATATAACATTTTCGGGTATAAATCCTGGCGGACCTGCAAATGTTTATACAGGCCTTGCAAGGGTTTGTCAAGGCTCGCAGGAAAGCAGCATCAGATTACTAGGAGTAGGTCCGACCTTATTTCATTAACACACAATTCTGGTCCAACCGATTCAACCGTTTTGATAAACACCGCGATGCTGTTCAGTGTTTTTTGTTCTCATAGCTACAAGATCATACGGACTTTTGGTGTCCTTCTTACTTGTTTAACATCCAACTTTCCAAGGTCGAAAACATTGAAGTATTGAACTTCATCTGTTTATAATGGTGCATGCATTTCATGGTGGGCGGTAGCTATAGCGTTTCTTGGAGATATTCCGAACATATTACAAGAACATTGTAAAAGAGATAATGTCATTCCACATGGGGCAGACTAACGAAAACCTTCGAATGTCCATCACAATCTTAAGAATCATAGGAATCAGCCTTGCGGGGAAAAGAAGAAACAAACAAAAGGATAGGAGTAATACTGAACACTTTTCCGACTACCGCTAAACTAACTAACATCAGCTGACTATATGGTACTTCAAACCATTGAGATGATGCAGAGTGTCCTGTGATCACTACATCGATTGAAAAGGAAAGAAGACACTTCCCAATATAGTAATAACGTACCATATTGGGACCCTTCTGTCTAAGTGATACGAGCGAAGCCATCGTCACCCCCCCC